ACCAACAACAAACAAAAACTAAGAAGAATCAACAAATGACTGAAGAACAGATTTATACAACAATAGATGAAAAAAACCAAACTAAAATAAATTTTCTAAATTACACGAACTGCTGCAAGAAAATTCTTATTCTCAGCTGCTACATATCAAAATAAACATGAGAAATCAAATTCTATTAGATGAGTTTCAACAATAAAACAAGATAAATCAACAATTTAAAAAAATAACATTTTAAAACATTGTATTTAATTAAAATAAAAACCAAGAAATTTGGATCATTGTCATTACTATTATAACATTGTATAAATAATTTTTTGATGAAATTTGAAATATCAACAATATGTTATCCTGTTGAGGATTGCTACATTGTTGAATCAAGATAATGTTCAATATGTTTATGTTTAAAGTCAAAACAATGTTTATTATACACATAAATTAACCTCTATAAACTCAGAGTTGCTTCTATTAAAAAAACCAAATTATAGTTTCTCACATGTCAACTTGTTAAAAATGGACACAGACATCTTGTTACATACAGGTATAAAATACAGGTATACCTCGACTTATGTCGTTTCGAGTTACGTTGTTCCCGATTATACGTCGTTTGTCAAAAAAGTATATGGAAAAATAAAAATCCAGTTTAAGTCATTTTATTCGACTTTACGTCTGTCCGCCACAAATATTGAAGTCGTAATATCACTATAAAAGCGTTTAAAGCACATAAAATCACATTAAAATATATACATTTACAAGTATGTACTGTATTTACAGTACACATACAGTACGGGGGACGCGAGTCTGACAAGTTGGATGAATTTTAGCTCCTGAATAAACAGTTTTTTCTTGGATAATAGTGCGTCTATAATATTAAGTTATATATCATCGGATTCAGCTAAGTGAGAGAAGTCCAGTGATGCCACTTTTATGACCCTGGGGTCAAATTTTCGGAAGATATTACGAGTTGAAAAGTCGACTTTTCGGAGTCCATTTTCCCGGAAGAGGAAGACCGTTTATCCGGAATTGACAACGGATTTTCATCAACCTTCGAACTGACAGTACTACCTCAAATTTTCGGGGGTACAGGACCAATAGTTTCCGAAATATCGCCACTTCTTCGAATGTTAACGTCGGACTTTGTAAGCCCGCATCGGGCCTTTGGCGACAGACTTTAAAATAATTTTAAGGTTATCAGTGACACTAGGCCATCAGTAAACTTTCCTAAAAATTTCATATCAAAACCTCTATAAATATTTAAACTTCAGCAAAATTAAAATACATCAAAAATCATCAACTTTCTACACTGAACGAAACACATCGTTTCCAAGGCAACGGTTAACAACTTTAGCAGCTACAACGCATATCAACTGTCATTAACGGTCGTCTAATGACGTCATCATCAAAACATCGTTTTTTAGAAGATTTCTGCGTTTTTAATCATTTTTGGAAGGATTGCCAAACCAGAAATAAGGATTGAAAGACAATCAGCTTGTATAACACCATGTATTAAATTGTATAACTAGTTTTAAGTAGTGTTAACTATTTTAAGTTATTTTAATTCTATCTCTTAGTGCTGTGTCACAGAGTTTACTCTGGGATACAGTATTGCTGGGCACAGAGCCTCCTTTCCACAAGACACTCCTTCTAGCATAAGTTTAATTTTAGTGTACTGGATTCAACAATAATAGAACCAAAGATAATTCTAACTCCTATAGAAGAAGAAATGGATGATAGCAGAATGGAGACTAACCAAGAAAATACAGACATAATAGAAGAGACTGAAAGCATACTAATAAAGGATGCTAATAGAATATTGGGGATGATACTAGAGCTCTGTCCAGAGCATACAAATACAAACATAAAACAAAACCATAGGATAAAAATCAGGGAAAGCGTGACCAAACTATATGGATATATGCATGAAATGTATGCAATTGTGAAGCAGGTCCGAAAGAACAAAGCACAACAACAGAATGTCACACAATCCACTCAACCAGACAACCAGACTACCAGTGAAATAGGAATCAAGGCACAACTGGAAAACATAATAACCAGACAACCTACTTACGTGGAGATAATGAAAACTAACCTACAAAACACACAAAGCCAAACAACAAGAGTTATCCATAGAAAAAGTGAAGATGGAGATAGCAGCGCCGTTCTGGTTTATCCAAACAATGAGGAAGGTACAGAAATCAATATGAAACAAATAGAGGAAAAAATAAAGGACAAAATCGCCACACCAAATCAACGTGAAAGTTAAACAAATTAAAAAAGTTCGGGGCAATAGAATCTGTTTCAGAGTGGGAACCGAAGACGAAGGAAACAGACTCAAGGAAGCCATAGAAAATATAACTGAAATAAAACCAAAAATAACATGTAAGACGTCAACAGTAAAACAACCAAGAATCATATTGTTAAATGTCCCAAATAGCATAGAGGAAGAAGAAATAATACAAATAATGACAGAGCAAAATAACATATGGAGAAATATGGACAAAACCACAATCACAACAAATTGTAAGATCAGCACAACAATAAAAGGGGAAAAAAGCAGGGAAAACTGCAGACATGTGGTAATGATGGTTACACCACAAATTCGTAACATAATAATAAATCAAAGGAAAATTGCAATGTCATGGACTACGGTCTGGGTAGATGATTTTGTGCCGGTAACTAGATGTTACCGGTGCTGTGGATTTGGACACTGGGTAAGAGACTGCAAAAAAGAGCAGACATGCAGTCAGTGCACAAAGGAACACAGCTATAAGGAATGTCAGGCAAAACATCAAATCCCATCATGCATTAATTGCATTCAAGCAAACAGAGGTCTACCAACAGAAAAAAGGAAAGCTACAAACCATAATGCATACAACAATCAATGTCCCACATTACTTAAAATAAAGGAACAAATAATTGGAAGAACAAATTATGAACTATAACAGCAGAAACAGCAATACTCTGAATAAAAATATAAAAAGAATGCAAAGTAACAACCAACAACAAGAAGGAACAAAGAAAGGACTTAACATACTTCATCTGAATGCCCAGAGAGGCAAGGCCCCTAGCTCTTTGTTAATGCACAAAGCAAGTAAAATTAAAGCAGACTTAGTATTATTACAAGAACCCTACACGGTTAACAATACAGTGGTGAGCTTGGGCAACTGGCAAATTTTAAATAATAACAATGGGAAAACTCAAAAAAGCTGTATCGCAGTTATCAACAGATCAATAGACATTGCGCTTATTCCAAAACTTTCCTCTGATATTATAACAACCGTAGTCATACACCATAAGCCTCTTATATATATTATCAATGCATACTTATCACCAAATATGAATGACAAGCAAACGATGACTGAATTGAGCAAAACACNAACATTGTTTCCATCTCAGCGATAATACTGTGACGTTTACGAATGATGCTTGAATTTAAAGATTGAGCATTTTTCACAGTGTCGAGAATTTTTTCTTTGCCTTTTATAATTGTTCTGACCGACAATTCCAGTAGATCAAACTTCTTTGCCAATTCACAAATTTTCATTTTTGTATCAAAGTCTTTAATAATAACAAGTTAAATGCGTTAGTAACAAATCGTTCGAAAAGTCTAACGAAATAGGAATAACGATGACGTCATTCTCGTTTAACTCGTTAGACTTTACGAACATACCCAATGTTAACTTTACATTCCAAAGATAAAGTTTTTCTTTTCTTGTTTGATGTGGAAGAATTAGTTCTACTTCATTTGGATGACATAGTAGAGTCTCTTGAGTCTCCGTAGATATAACAAACACAGAAATAAATAACACAAAATAAATTGTAGCTATGTGTCGATTCCGCGTGACACATCCAAACGTGTAAGCTGAACAATAGTGTGGGGGGAGTGAGTAATCAAGGGTTGCGTGGCACTCAAACAATAGACAAATCAATGAGATTTGAAAATCGCGTAACTCTGGGTTCGCGTAAGTCGAGGTATTACTGTATCAGCATATTAACGGTCGTCTAGTGACGTCATCATCAAAACATCGTTTTTTAGAAGATTTCTGCGTTTTTTTAAAAATAATTTTTGGAAGAATTGACAAACCAGAAACAAGGATTGGAAGACAATCAGCTTGTAAAACACCATGCATTAAATTGTATAACTAATTTTAAGTAGTGTTAACTATTTTAAGTTATTTTAATTCTATCTCTTAGTGCTGTGTCACAGAGTTTACTCTGGGATAAAGTATTGCTGGGCACAGAGCCTCCTTTTCACAAGACACTCCTTATAGTATAAGTTTAATTTTAGTGTACTGGATTCAACAATAATAGAACCAAGGATAATTCTAACTCCTATAGAAGAGGAAATGGATGATAGCAGAATGGAGACTAACCAAGAAAATACAGACATAATAGAAGAGACTGAAAGCATACTAATAAAGGATGCTAATAGAATATTGGGGATGATACTAGAGCTCTGTCCAGAGCATACAAATACAAACATAAAACAAAACCATAGGATAANAAGTATTTAAGGCAATTTTTTTTACATAGCCAGATGATCGTTTGGCTATGTATAAAAATTATATTAATGTGGCAACAGAATTAAAATAATAAACATTTTGGCAAAAAATAGAACAACAACAATGCAGTTTCTATAATAGTTTTTTTTTTTGTTATATTTAAGATATTTAGCATGAAGTTGAACAATGATGACTTTTATTTTCATTTGCCACAAATTATCAAAACAGTCATCATCATAAATTTTATTGTATTATTAAAAATAAATAAAGCATAAGGTATTTATAGTTAGTTATAATTTGCATGATTATTTCAATTTCAAACATTGTATTTAGTTTATTTTTTCGAATAATATGTCTTATAAAAATATGAAATTTATCTAACAACTTCTCTGCAATTTTTATGTATGAAAAAAAATATTAAAAAGCAAACAAAAGATATGAAAAACTATAAACATTTTAAATAAAGATTTGAATAAAAAATAGATCAAACAATACACTTACAATGTTTCACAAGATGATAAACTGAAGAAACTGCAGAAGATATCCAAGTAATATGACTAGAAAGACCAATCACAAATGATACATTAGTATCTTTTAAAGCTGCTTCCATTATTTTCATTGATAAATACTGATATTCAGGGGATATCCTTTGATTTGATTCTAGCATCCAACTAATTGCCTAATAAAAATTTAATAAATACTCAAACTATAATTTCAATTATTTTCAATATTCTATATTACAATTTAACTAAATTTCTTTTATTAAATATAAAGATGGCTCCACACATTCAATATTTACTGATTCCCAAATAATTGCTTATTGCCCAAGTATTTGTGGAAGTGTTTGTCATTTGGCAAGCACTTATGTACACACGATTATTTGACAAGCTTTGGTTCATTGTGGAAATACAGAATGTTTGAGATTTATTTCCTTTGATTTGGCACAATGTACTAATAAGTAATGGGAAACAGTAAATACTGAATATTTGAGAAGTCACAAGTAAATCCACATTACTCTGTATTGACCAAATGTTTGTTGAATACTGAATGTGTGGAGCCACCAAATAGTCACAGGTAAATCTAACAAATCTTCAATAAAATTTTCTCCTCAAATATTTTATATTTTAAAACATAATTAAAATTTTATATTAATTAAAAACGATCCCTCCCCCAGATCTCACATTTTATAATGACTTAATGAATTGTTATTTTCATTAATATATAAATAACTCTTAAATTTCTGTTTAAACCAAAATACTAAACAGTTTAAATGTAAACATAAAATGTTTTATACTTTGCAAAGTAGTTTTGTATTATATCTGAATACAAATCTTTGCCAACAAGGAAGAAAAAGCAGATGTTAACTCGACAATTCTGTCATGATTAATGAGGAATGTGAGCATAATATGGGTGTGGGTGGTTACACCAAAACAGGTCACTTTTACAAAACAAGCCATTTATTTGAAAAGTACATGATGCTTACACAGTTTTAGTCAAAAACTTCTCAGATGACAAACAAAATGTGGAAAGTTCAGTCTATGTTGGTTATCATCATTGTTGGTTATCTAATAGCAATCTGATGGAGTTTTGATGCTGATACAATGACCCCAGAGTAGACTAGTTGGAAGTCAGCTGCAGTGGTCAACAGAATGAAGAAGAAGTCAAAGGCAAGAGGGGAATTGACAAAAGGACAAGTAAGATGAACACAGGAGAACCAATGCTCCATGTCCTTAAATTTTGAGATTTTTAAAGTATTTTATCCCCAAAATTCTTTATTTGATTGGTCCCGATTTTCTCTCTCCACCTCCCAATTGGTCTCTTTCCTGATTCCAGCCAAAATTATATGACCAGAAAGGGGTCAGGAAAGATTACTCTCCATTAATCAATTTGACATCGTTATTTGACTTTGTCCAAAAGTGTTAACCAAACTTTGAAACTTTTGCTTGTATCTCACACAGTGATATTTTCTTTTCTGACATCTAAGAATTTTTTTTAATCTTTATTAATATTAACTAAAACACAATGGTTTTTCTTTCAAAGTAATGATTCATTTCCTCAGTTTTTCCAAATTTTAAAACTCAATTTTCTCAACTGACATTCTAAACCTTCCAACCTGTTAGTTCACATAAACCCATGATCTCACAGGGGCCAATTGTACTTTGTTTATTTCATACCTTTGTGACAGATCTATTTTATACATTTTTGTTAATAAAACATTTTTTTTAAATGAAGTGAATTTCTGTACACTTTATAGATAAAGTCCAGATTCTTTATTAAGTCCAAATTCCTTAATAAGTGAGGTCCTGGTTAAAGAATATTTATAGATAAAGTGTGAGGTTTGGTTAACAAATTTCATGTGATTCATGCATTTTAATCAACTACATCTTTAAAAAAAATTATATAAATATATTAAACACCCCGAAGCCTTATATAAATATATAGATTCATAGTCAAATTATTAAATACTTGGCTATCCCAAGTATTTAAGGCAATTTTTTTTACATAGCCAGATGATCGTTTGGCTATGTATAAAAATTATATTAATGTGGCAACAGAATTAAAATAATAAACATTTTGGCAAAAAATAGAACAACAACAATGCAGTTTCTATAATAGTTTTTTTTTTTGTTATATTTAAGATATTTAGCATGAAGTTGAACAATGATGACTTTTATTTTCATTTGCCACAAATTATCAAAACAGTCATCATCATAAATTTTATTGTATTATTAAAAATAAATAAAGCATAAGGTATTTATAGTTAGTTATAATTTGCATGATTATTTCAATTTCAAACATTGTATTTAGTTTATTTTTTCGAATAATATGTCTTATAAAAATATGAAATTTATCTAACAACTTCTCTGCAATTTTTATGTATGAAAAAAAATATTAAAAAGCAAACAAAAGATATGAAAAACTATAAACATTTTAAATAAAGATTTGAATAAAAAAATAGATCAAACAATACACTTACAATGTTTCACAAGATGATAAACTGAAGAAACTGCAGAAGATATCCAAGTAATATGACTAGAAAGACCAATCACAAATGATACATTAGTATCTTTTAAAGCTGCTTCCATTATTTTCATTGATAAATACTGATATTCAGGGGATATCCTTTGATTTGATTCTAGCATCCAACTAATTGCCTAATAAAAATTTAATAAATACTCAAACTATAATTTCAATTATTTTCAATATTCTATATTACAATTTAACTAAATTTCTTTTATTAAATATAAAGATGGCTCCACACATTCAATATTTACTGATTCCCAAATAATTGCTTATTGCCCAAGTATTTGTGGAAGTGTTTGTCATTTGGCAAGCACTTATGTACACACGATTATTTGACAAGCTTTGGTTCATTGTGGAAATACAGAATGTTTGAGATTTATTTCCTTTGATTTGGCACAATGTACTAATAAGTAATGGGAAACAGTAAATACTGAATATTTGAGAAGTCACAAGTAAATCCACATTACTCTGTATTGACCAAATGTTTGTTGAATACTGAATGTGTGGAGCCACCAAATAGTCACAGGTAAATCTAACAAATCTTCAATAAAATTTTGAAAAAACTTAAAATATTAAATATATAAATATGTTATAGCTACTAGTATCTATGTATAAATAAAAAATTTGCTAAAAACTGATTGACAGTTAGAATTTGTTTAGATTCCTTATTGTCAATTTGTTAAAATTTTAAATGATTAAATAAGTTTATCTATCAAATGAATACTTTAATTAACCAATTATCGATTTACCATAAGTTTTTATTGGAATTTGATTAATTCATTCTGAAGACCCAAAAAATAAAAAATATACACTTTCTAACTACATTTATTTATATGTAATAATAAAAATACATATATACACAGTCTTGCATTTTTATTAGTCATGTTTTTTCCGTTTGTGGAAGTTAAAGAATCTGTCCAATGTTGATTGCTTTTCTCTCTTCTTCAGGATTTTTCAGAAGTAATTAATAGCATTGTAATTGTAGATATTAATAGATTCATAAGTAAGTAACTAGTGAATAGTAAGTAGCATTGTTAATAGATCCCTATTAACCTCATGGTTAATAGGGATCTATTAACCATCCAGGTTAATAGATCCCTATTAACCTGGTAATCCAAACCAGGTTAATAGATCCCTATTAACCTGGTTTGGTTGCCATTCTAAGACCGTTGTTCTGACATCCTCCCACTTCTTCAAAAGATCTTTAATAGCAGATATCGGCATTAATCCCTCTTTTTCAGAAGAAAACATATCTCGCCGAGTTTCTTGGTGTTCTTCATTCAAGAGTTCTTGGCGTTCTTCTGTCATCAGATCTGTTTCAGGTTCTATTATGAGCTCTTCAATGTTCTTTATTTCTCAGATGTGATTTTTGTTACTCCTT